CCTCCACAAATATTTTTCTTCTATGTTCCCTACTGTACCAGCCACTGTTCTCCTTCCATAACACAGATCAGTATTAGCCCATCCATCAACAGCCCCCTTCTCCCTTCCTCTACTTGCTACCAAAGCATGGTACACTCAAGTTGCATCCCTTGCAAAGATATGACTTTAAAGGCCTCCTTTAGGATTCCTGTGAAATTGATTGGCCCATTTTGTAGAAAGGAGAAACAAAAACTGCATAAGCAATGAGGAACAATATCATAAGAACTGCCATACTGGATCAGACCATGGTTCATCTCTTTCAGTATGTGTCTTCCAACAGTGGCTGATGCTGGATACTTCAGAGGAAATGAACAAAACAAGGCAATTATTGAGTGATCTATTTCCTGTTGTGTGGTCCCAGTATCTGCCAGTCAGAAGCTTAGGAACAGAGCCTGGGGTTGCCTCTCTGACCACAGTGGCTAATAGATTTTGATGGCACTATCCTCCACAAATCTTTCTAATTTTTGTTTGAATACATTTTATACTTCTGGCCTTCACAACATCTCCTGGTAATGAATTCCACAGGTTAACTGTGCACTATGTGACAAAGTACTTATTTTTGTTTGTCTTAAACCTGCTGCCTAGTAATTCCATTGGGTGATTCCTTGTTCTTGTGTTATGTTAAGGGGTAAATATACTTCCTTCTTCATTCTTCACACCATTCATGATTATACAAACCTCCATCATACCCTCCCCTACCACAAACACACACTTGTCTTTTTTTCTAGCCTGAACAGTCCCTGTCTTTTTTTTTTCTCTCCTCATGTGGAAGCTGTTCATACTCCTAATCATTTTGTTGACTTCACCTCTACTTTTTCCAGTTCTAATATATCTTTTTTTGAATTGGGGCAACCGACACTACGTGATATATTAAAGGTACGTGTGTGTGCCATGGATTTATATAGTGGCATTATGATATTTTCCATCTTAATATCTATCCCTTTCATAATGGTTCCTAATGTTGTTGGCTTTTTGACTACTGCTACAAATTAATCAGATGTTTTCAGAGCACTATCCAATGATTCCAAAGTCTCTTTCTTGAGTGGTACCAACTAATTTAGAATCCATGGTTTTGTATATATGGTTTAGATCACGTTTTCATATATGTATTACTTTACATTTATAAACACTGACTTTCATCTGCCATTTTTTGCACAGTCATCCAGTTTGTAACCAATTGTAACCATTTGTAACATTTGTAACCCTTCACTGTCAACTTGAAACTTAACTATCTTTGAGGAATTTTGTATCATCTGCAAAACTTTGCCACCTCAGTGTATACCCTCTTTTCCAGATCAAAAATAAAGATGTTGAACAGCACTAGTTCCTATATTTTCTAACTTTTATTAAACCGCCAGCAGGGATTTTATTAAAAAAATCTCCTTATTAAATGTTCAATTGATTTTTCCCACCACCTTTCCCCTTCCATCTACTTCTTTGATAAGGAAGTAGGGATTGTGGGTGCATCTCTGATGGCTTACAGAGAAGCAAATATGGTAGACAATATGGTATGCATAGCAGCCTGGCTTAGCAATGAAATCCTTGGTGAGCTTAAACACAAAAAGAGAGCTTAAAAGAAATGGAAACTTGGACAGATGACTAGGGAAAAGTATAAATATATTACTTGAGCATGCAGGAGTGTAATCAGAAAGGCCAAACTGCAACTGGAATTGCCGCTAAGAAGTGATGTCAGAGGTAACAAGAAAAGTTTCTACAGGCATGTTAGCAATAAGAGGATGGTCAGGAAAGGTGTGGGACCCTTACTGGATGAAGGAGGTAAGCTAGTGACAGATGATATGGGAAAAGCTGAAGTACTCAATGCTTTTTTTGCCTCTGACTTCACAGATGAGGTCAGCTCCCAGACTACTGCACTGGGCAACACAGTATGGGGAAAAGGTGGGCAGCCCTTGGTGGAGAAAAAATAGGTTAAGAAATATTTAGAAACACTGGACATACACAAATTCATGGTGTTAGATTTAATGCATCCAAGGGTGCTGAGGGAGTTGTCTGATGTGAATGCAGAGTCATTGGTCATTATCTTTGAAAAACTGTGGCAACAGGGGAGGTTCTGGATGACTGAAAGAAGGCAAATGCAGAGCCCATCTTTAAAAAAGGGAAGAAGAACAATCCAGGAAACTACAGACTGTCAACCTCACTACAGTCCCTGGAAAAATCATGGAGGGGATCCTCAAGGAACCCATTTTGGAGTACTTGGAAAAGAGGAAATTGATCTGGAACTGTCAACATGGATTCACTAAGGGCAAGTCATGCCTGACCAACCAGATTGCCTTCTATGACAAGGTAACTAGCTCTGGGGACATTGGCAAGGCTGTGGATATGATATACCTTGACTTCAGCAAAAGCTTTTGATATGATCTCCTACAGTATTCTTGCCAGCAAGTTAAGGAAGTATGGATTGGATAAATAGACTGTAAGGTGGATAGAAAGCTGGCTAGATTGTTAGGCTCAGTGGGTAGTTATGAACAACTCAGTGTCTGGTTGGCAGTCAGTGTCAAGCAGAGTGCCCCAGCAATCGGTTCTGGGGCCAGTTTTGTTCAACATCTTTATTAATTACCTGGATTAGGGGATGGGTTGCACCCTCAACAAGTTTTCAGATGACACTAAGCTAGAGGGAGAGGTAGCTATGTTGCAGGGTAGGGATAGGATCCAGAGTGACCCAGAAAAATTGGAGGATTGGGCTAAAAGAAATCTGATGAGGTTCAACAAGGACAAGTGCACTTGGGATGGAAGAATCAAGCTAAACGGAAGGGATGGGAAGACAGCTTAATAATCACAACAAGGGATGGAGCCTGTACCCCCAGGAAGCCTTCCCAGCTCTTGAAACAGAGACAGTAGACTTTAGGAAATCTAAGCGGAAGCAGAAAACTATTTTGGCACTCACCACCTGGGGCACACAAGAGATCAGAGCTCTTGTAATCAGAAAGAAGTGGATCCTTCAGTCAAGAGGGTTGAAATCTCTGCACATTTATTATAGATGAAAAAACCATTTAGACAGTTTGTAACCTGCTGACGTTACGTTTTAAGAAAATGTGTTTTGTTTACCTGGTTTTAGAAAGTGTGTTTTGTTTTACCTGCAACCATAGCTGTGTCTTCCATTCTTATAATTGTTTAAATCTATGCTCTTTATTAAAAACTTGATTTGACTACATATATATATGTAGTATAGTAAACAGAAGTACAGCTCTTCAGTTAACCCATCAGGCTAGTGTATGTTCTGTCTCTTTGGAAGCTGTGAACTTAACTCAGTGGTGTGCAACCTGTGGCCTGTGGGCCTTACATAGTTCATCAGGCTAAGCCATTGGCAGGCTGCCTAAAAGGTTGTTTATATTGCATCTTCAAGTATGGCTCCTGCTGCTTCCATTTGCCATGGTTAACTGTTTCTGGCCAGAGGAACTGAAGGAAGCATCACAAGCCACTGGGACTTCCTGCTTCTCGCAGCTTGCACTTCTCGTAGCTCTCATTGACTGAGAACGGTGAATCACAGCCAACAGGAACTGCAGGTGGCCACACCTGTGTATGCAAGGTAAACAACCTGTCTGGTGGCCTACCAGCTGCTTAACCTGACAAGCCACATATGGCCCATGTCCCACAGGTCGTCCACCAATGACTTAACCTCTGTGAGTATCCAGTGAGAGGGACTGTACACTACATTGGGGGACTTGCTGTGATGCATAGACTCAGGGTGAATATCACCTACAGTGTGTGTACTTAGGTTTTTTTTTTTAAGCTACATTTTTCCCCTTCAGGAAGGAGGTAAATCCCAAGATGGCTTGACAAATTATTTAGACAGATTATTGGTGAAAAATGAGAAATTTTTCTAGGTGCCCTTTAAAATACTTTGTGGAAAATGCAAAATCAGCGGAAATACGTTTAGCAATTACCTTCAAGCTGACAGTGCCTTGTGATGTACGAATCATTCTCAGGCTTCTTGGAATTCTGCCAAAGTGTGCCATTCACATTTTTCCTGTCTAAAGTAAAAGCACGGAAAACATTCACTGGCATTCATATAATAACTGTGAAATAACAGGAAAGACTATATAACAATATCATAATGCAAATCAAACAAGCACCAACAGTATACTATAGTATCTGCTCAGAACATTGAAATGAATAAAAGCCTTTGTCAAAGTGGAAATATGATGGATGGGTTTTAGTGTGGCAGAGAACACTTGTATCATCTATTGACATCACCTGCAGCCTCATCTAACGCTGCTTAAACATTATTTAAATTAGTAATAATACTATAACCTCTGGGCTCAAGGCTTTGACATCAGCATTCTGTGACTTTCCAAATATCTTTTCTGGTTTTACTTCTAAAATTTTTATAAGCATCATTTAGATTTATAACGTAATGAATTAGTTTGGGTCTCTGAGTACAATTATTCTCTATTGGATCCAAAATGTTTATCATTGGCACTATATTCCTAACATGGATTCCACTTTTTAGCTCAAAGTGGATTGGTCAATACTTGTGAAACAAGAATATCACACTTCCCTCCCTACAATAAGCTTCCAAGTGGCCATGTTATACAGCCCTGATATGTGCACTTTTATGGTATATTGGGCCTCATTCTACTATTCTCAGAGAGCTTTCAAAATCAAGGAATTACTTAGTTCCATGAATAGTAATAGAGATGTATCTGTGTTAGTCTGGTCTAGCTGAAACAAAAGACAGGACTATGCAGCACTTTAAAGACTAACAAGATGGTTTATTAGGTGATGAGCTTTTGTGGCCCAGAACCACTTTCTCAGATCAAACTGTGGAAGAAAATTGGCATGACCATATATACCAAAGGGATACAATCAAAAAAAGTAAAGACGTATAAAGGACAAATCAAATTTCAGAACAGAGGGGAGATGAGGGGGGAAGGTAAATGTCTGTGAGCTAATGATATTAGAGGTGATAATTGGGAAGCTATCTTTGTAATGGGTAAGATAATTAGCATCTTTGTTGAGGCCCAGTTGTAAAGTGTCAAATTTAAGCATGAATGGCAGTTCAGAGGTTTCTCTTTGAAGTCTTGTGTTAAAATGTCTTTGAAGCAGTATACAGATAGTCAAGTCGTTGAGACAATGCCGTTTCCGGTTGAAATGGTAAGAAACTGTTTTTTCTCTGTGAAACTGAAAATGACAGGAATCTGTTATAAATATAGAGCCAAATTCTGTAGTCCAAATAATATTGCCTTTTAGAAAAGTTTTCCTTGCGTAAGACTACAGAATCAAATCCTCTATGAGTATATATATCCTAAAATGGACATGAATGACGGGGAACCATAGAACTTTTTGAAATGACACTGTTAAGCAATTTCTTCATTCCTAATTCAGTCAGGATGTTTAAAAAAATATCCAGAATATATAATTAAATATTTTCAAAGACTTCACACTGAAAATTAGCAATTGTAAACTTTACAAAATGAATTCGTGAAAAAATAATCACATTATTGTTTAAAAAATTTGGCTGACAAAATAGTAACTGTAATATCACAGTTGATAAGATAGATATAATTTAAGAGCAATATGTAATGACTCCAGAAATTTTGCAAAAAATAATTTCCCCTTCAGTAGCAACTTTAATCGTGACCCCCCCCCCCAAAATGAAGGGTAAACCTTTCATTTTTAACAAAGGGAAATGGGAGGAGATTAATGTGATTAGATCAGTGGGGTTTCCATTCTTAATTTAAATGGATAAAGCAAATACTAAACATTCATCTCTGTCTCACTCTGTCCAAAGGCCAGATCCTTTAACATCTTCATTTGGTTTTTACATTAATCTGGTTGGGGGGGGCGGGTTCTGTGGGGCTACATCTACACTATGAAGCAGTGTGGATGCTTCCTTTTTGTGCAAAAAACCCTTTTCCTGCAATGATCTTTTGCACAAGGAATTTCTGTGCAAAAATAAAATGTCTGCAAAAATGGATTGGCAGAAAATATGCACATGAGATTGCAACTCATGCAAATGAGTCCCTCATTGGCGTATTTTTTGCCGAGAAAACTCGTAGTGTAGACGTCGTAGCCTGGAAGATTCACAGCAGTCGTTTCAATCATTCTCTGTAGTGTAGACGTACCCTGAGTGTATATAAGCTGTAGCTTATCCTGATCCAAAGAAAAGAGAAGAATAGTAAGAGGACTATATATCTACCTCAGTCACACTTTAAAACCCGAAAATCAAAAGAAATCTTACAAAAAAGATGGAAACATGATAAAATTACTAGGAGTGAGTACAAAAGAATAGCACAAAAATTTAAAGACAGAATCAGGAAGGCATAAAATGAATTGTACCAAGCATGGGACATAAAAGCTAATAAGAAGAGGTTCTATAAATATATTTGGAGGAAGAGAAAGATATAGTAAAGTGTAGGTCCGTTACTGAAGTAGGGAAAAGCGATCTAATAACATATGACACCAAGAAGGCTGAGATATGTATTGCCTATTTTGCTTCAGAGTTCACTAAGGGCACGTCTAGACTATATCCCCTTGTTGGCAGAGGGATGTAAATGAAGCATGTCGAAAGTGCAAATGAAGCAGGGATTTAAATATCCGTTGTTTCATTTGCATAATCACGTAATGTCGCTCTTTCAAAAAAGCAGGTGGGTGAATAGTTGACAGAAAGGACACACTCAAGTCTTGTCTACTCTACTGCACTACTTTAGCACAGCTGCAGCACATCTGGTGAAGATGCAGTATGCCAATGGGAGAGCACTCTCGCATACGTATAGTTATACTACTTTCAGAAAAGGCAGAAGCTATTTTGGGAGGAAAGCATCTTCTGCTGACAGCACTTTAAGTTGTTATAACTTGTGTCACTTTGGGGTGTTATATTCACACCCCAGAGTAATATAAGTTACATTGACTGAAGTGGTTGTGTAGACCAGCCCTCAAAAAGCACTTATTGACGGTTTGCTGTCATATTGTGGCAGTGGATCTAACGGAGTCTGACAGGGTCAATCCTGGGTCAAGAACTATTCAATATTTTCATTAATGACTTGCATAATGAAGTGGAGAGTATGTTTATAAAATATGCAGATGACACTGAGGCAACATCTACACTGCAGAGAAAAGTCAGAAAAAGATACGTAAATTGCGAACCTCAATTCGCGTATCTTTTTCCGCTCTTTTCCCCAAAAGAGGCTTTTCTGAAATTTGGCCCGTCTACATGGGGACAGATTCAGAAAAAACTCCTCTTTTGGAACAGCCCTTATTCCTCTCTCCAAGAGGAATACAGGGATGCCAAAAAAACACATCCGCTTTTTCAGAAACTGTATTGGAGGTATCCCCGAAAAGCTCTGCAGTCCAGACATAGCCTAATCTGGAAGGAGTTGCAAGCACTTTGGAAAACAACACTAGAATTTAAAATAACCTTGATAAATTGAAGAATTGGTCCAAAATTAACAATATGAAATTGAACAAAGGTAAGTGCATAGTACTACCATTTAAGAAATAAAATATCAAATGCACTACTGCAAAATGGGGAATAAATGGCAATTCAGTAATAGTGCAAAATGTGTCCTGTGGGTACAGTGAATCACAAATGAAATATGAGCCAACAATGTGATGCAGTTTCAACAATATTAATATTCTGAATTGACATTGGTGACTTATATAAGGACACAGGAGGCAATGCCCTATTTGGCACTGCTGTGACCAGTTTTGGGGGTGGCAGATTTGGAGAAACTAGAGAGACTCCAGAGAAGAGCAACAGAAATGGCAAAATGTTTGAAAACCTGATGTATAAGAAAGGTTAAAAAAGACAGGGTGTGTTTAGTTGTCACAAAACAACACTTAGGGTAGGGAAGACTTGATAAATCTTCAGCTGCTAATGGTCATTATAAAGAGGCATGTGATTAATGGTTCTGCATATCCCCTGCAGACAGAACAAGTGGTAATCAGATTAATCTGATTAGACATTAGGACAAACTTTCTAACTAAGCATGGTTAAGTACTCAAACAGGTTACCAAGGGAGGCTGTGGAAACCCTATCAACGGAGGTTTTTATAAACAGATTAGACTAACACCTGTCAGGAATGGACTGGGTATAGTTAATCCTGCCTCAGGCTACGTCTAAACTACACCCCTCTGTTGGCAGAGGGATGTAAATTAGATGTCTCAAAAGTGCAAATGAAGCCGGGATTTAAATATCCTGCACTTCATTTGCATAATAGCAGCCGCTGCTTTTTTTTCGAAATGGGGCTTTTAGAAAAAAACGGCAGTTTAGACAGGACATTTTCGACAGATCCTGTACTGCGGCTGCCATAATGCAAATGAAGCATGGGATATTTAAATCCCGGCTTCATTTGCACTTTCGATACCTTTAATTTACATCCCTATGCCGACAGAGGGGTGTAGTCTAGATGTAGCCTCAGTGAGGGGGGGATTGTCATTCAAGGTTGACCCAGCGCTCTCCCTTGCAGGCAGGTGTGGTGTTGCAAAGTGTGTGTAAGAACAAAAATCACGGATCACAAATCTAGACAGACTGTCACACCATAAAGAGCACTACTACCCCTTTTGCAGGGCCACATTTGATAACAGAAAAGTCATGTGTAAACAAAACTTTCATCCCAACATTTTAGCTGGGTGATGAGGTCATTTTTAGTCCATCTCTCTCCCACCTGAATCTGCTGCCCACCTCTATTCAGACTCTTCCTTGGTGGTTATCTTGTTTCTGGTCTGTGGGCCTGATGTCAGTTCTTTTGCCTCTGCCTGATTAAAATCCTTTTCTGGTGTCAGGGGTCTGGGAAGGTCTATGCATTGGGTCTCTTTTTCATGGACAATGGGTGTTACTTTCCAGACCAGGCTTCCAGTCAGCATCAAGGAGATACCGTGGCCTTCTTGAATGCCTGCAAACTGCAGTCCTCTGTTTATAAGGCTCTTCTCTGAAGGAACAACTCTAACAGACTCCCCATTTGGAATGGCTCCCCAGAGAGTTCACCCACTAGACTCCCCTGCTCAGGCCTCTCTCGGAAACTGTCTATGC